TATTAGGTCTTCGTACATTGGGCATGAGACCAAAGATCCTCTTTATTTCTCAAAAGAAATGGAGGTGTCGACTACTATAGTTTTGGTGTAAATAAAAAAATATATTTGCACGTATTTTTAGGATTGATGACATTAATTACACATTTATGCATTAAAATTATAGTAATGGACACCTCCATTTCTTTTGAGAAATGGAGAGGATCCTTACTCGTGATTAGGGGTGGCAAAATGGATTGGACCCGTCAGGTCGGTCCATTTGACCCACATTTTTCAGCGGGCTGGGTTGAGGTTTTTGACTATGTACCTTAAGTTGTCCCGCTCCGTCTAACCCGCTTTAAAAAGCGGACCAACACGGAGCGGGTTTCGCCCGCAGGTTTTCTTTTAAACGTTTTATTTTTTACTTAGAATTAGAACAACTTTAACTATCAATACAACACTCTTCTCTTAGGATTATGTTTATTGAATTGTATTCTAAATTATTATACAGACAAATTGAATTAAAATAGTAAGATTCTTTCTATAACTTTCTAATATATGCGTTGGTTGAAAAGGCTTAAAATAAAAGAATAATTGTATGGCATGAAAAATTATTAAGTTGTCAATACATTAGTTCACATGTTTTCTTTAGAAATATATGTTGATTTTAAAAAAAGAAAGGATTTTTAATGTATAGTTGTGATAAATTTATGATATAACTATTAAGGAATCAATCAATATAAGAGTCTATATGATATAAAAAGTGAGAAAGACAGGTGTTTACGTCCTACTATTTTATGTATTGTGATATTTTATGCATTGTAATTGTTATTATTGTTTGTCTTATGCAAATTATTAATTGAATTTTTTAGTAGTTAATTTTTAAATAGTATTAGGATGATATGTGTTGTTTATTTATTTATTTTGATACTTTTTATTGTGATTGAGTCTATTTTTTATATTTTTTTTTATAATTGTTCTTTATTTATTTTATATCTTAAATGTTTGAAATTAAAACATGTTGAAATTTTATTATGTGTTGTTAAAAAATATTTTTTGTCAGCATCTTTAGTAATAATTTTTTTAAAAAAATTATATAATATATTAAATTGTAAAATAAAAAATAAAATAAAATAGACATGTCGGCCTGTCAATCCACTAACTCATTAACAAATAAAACAAATTTAATTTTTAAATTCGAACCCTTAAATTAATTTGTCCCGTCCCACTTTTAAACAAAATTTAATAGAATAGTCTTAAACGGAACAACCTTCCACTTTACCACACTCCTACTCGTGACAAACCTATCATAGTTTCCATATATCAAGAAAAACAAATAATATTTTGAAATCTTTAATTTATATACGACTATTATTAAATTATCTAACGTATTTCATGTTACCTTTTTTATATTTCTATACAAATTAATAGTATTTATAAAAACTATATTGGGGAAAATGTAGTAAATGCATTTAAAAGTTTATAGAATGTCTTTGGTTTTACACAAATAAGTGTTTTAAAATAGTCTTTATAGAGTAGTCCTTCCGCCTCAAAATAATAGAGTATTTTCTCCGTCTCAAAATAATAATTGTTTAAGGTTGTGTTATATAGAGATTAAAAAAATAATAATTAAATTATCATAATTAAAAAGATGTATATAAGAGATAAAATTGATAAAAAATAATTATAATTACATTAAAAAAATAAATAGACTATTATTTTAAGATAATTTTTTGAAATTAAAAAAATAATTATTGAGACCGAAAGAGTACTAATTTTAAATAAAGGAGGTATTTTCTTAATCATTATCAAATAAACTAATGTGTCACACTTAAGGATGGTAAAACGGGTTGGGCTTGTCGGATTGACCCGTTTGACCTGCTATTTTTAGTGGGTTGGGTTGAGGTTTTTGGCTCGGTACTTTAAGTTGTCCTGTCCCGCCTAACCCGCTTAAAAAAGTGGACCGAGACGGAACGGGACAGATTTTTCCCGCGGGTTTTTTGTTAAAATTTTTACTCTTTTTATTAAGAATTAAAACAACTTTAATTATAAAAACAACACTTATTTCTTAAGATTGTATTATAAATTATTATACAGACAAATTGAATTATAATTGTAATGTTTTTTCTATAACTTTCTAATACATGCGTTGATTGAAAATGATTGAAATAAAAGAACAAATGTATGACATACATAATTATTAAATTTTCAATATATTAACTCAGATGTTTTCTTTAGAAAAAGATGTTGATTTTATGGAAAAAAAATATTTGATTAGTGTATACGTGTGATAAATTTAGGATTTAACTATTAAAGAATAAGTAAATATAAGAGTCTATATAATGTAAATAATGAGAAAGTTCGGTGTTAATGTTTTACACATTACTATTTTATGTACCGTGATTTTTTAGGCAATGTTATTGTTATCATTGTTGGTTTTGTGTAAATTCTAAATTAGATTTCTTTTAGTAGTTAGTTTTTAAAAAAGATTATGATAATATGTATTGTTTATTTATTTTAATATTTTTTATTGTGTTCGAGTTTATTCTGTTTTCTTGTTGTAATTAGTCTTTATTTATTAATTTTTTTGAATTATTTAGACTTAACGCATCTTGAAATTCTATTATGTGATATTAAAAAAAATTATCGACCTTTTTGATAATAATTTAAAAAAATTTAAATTATGTATTAAATTAAATTATAAAATTAAAAAAATAAAAAATTGACGGACCAACCCGCCAACTCGTTAATAAACAAGACAGACTTGACTTTTAAATTCGAATCCTACTTTGACCCGCCCCATCCCATTTTTGAACAGATTTAAATAGAATGAAGCGGACCTTGCCGCTCCTGGTCACACGGAAGAGATTAAATCCTAATACACGAAAAAGTGAAACAATGAATCTTCAATCTCGCGAGTCTTGTCCAAGTTGTGCATAGACATGAATAGCCACATTTTTTATAAGATAACCACCATCTAAAAGTTTCTTCGGAACAGGAATATGATACTTTTCATTAGAAAAAAAGAGATTTACAAATTATTTTTCAAAAAAAAAAAATAGACAGAACAATGCAATCCAATTTACTACCACCCTCTGAATTCTGATTTCTGGTTCTTTTTTAAATTGTAAAAAAATAGCACTTGATTCATGTTTGACCCTAAAAAGCTTCAACTGAGACACTTTGTTTCTCTTTCTTGGTCTCTTTACCCTAATAGCTAGAAAGGTGGAGTGGACACCATTATGTCTGTCCTCTGGTGAGCAAAGTATCCCACAGAGATCTTCTCTCCCTTTTTAATTACACCACTTGTCTTTTTCATTCAACACTCCTAACTCTTCTATCTTCAAAAGTAAAAGCTGCTGCTATACTACTACTACTGCTATTTGCACTCTTCTTTTCTTTTTCTTTTGCTTTGCCTCCTATATATCCATCCTTCTTTACCCTGCAACATTTTATTACACACAAATTGAATGAGAAAAATAACAAGGATTTATCCATTCAGAAAATGAAATAATGTAAAAGAATCAAAAGAATCACACTATTAGATTTGATTTTTGGTACAATCAAATTGTGGTTGGTAAAAATATATACATTTGGAATGATCTGGTAATATTTCCCTGTCTTGTTTTTTGAACATGTGGCTGGATACCTGAGTCCGTGACATAACTTTTTGTTTTGTTATTTTATTAAAAAATCCTGTCTTGTCTTGCCATGTTGTTGTCCCCATTTCATCATTCCCTTGCTAAATTAACAGAGTTCTAAATACTGCTGACCAATTTCAAATCCTTTTCAACTGCCTCAATTTACTTTATTTAGTCAAAAATCATGAAAAGTTAATTTTCATCTATGCATAGGAGTAGATAATTTTCATCTTGGTTGTTTAAGAGACTGTGAAAGACAGCATAAATAAATAAACCACACAAGGAACCTAATTCAGTCAAATCACCTAAATGCCCTCAATACCTTTTTGTACTCCATAATATTATTAAATAGTCAACCACTCCACACACCATAATTAAAACAAAAACAAAAACAAACCGGCCACAGCTTTATGACATGAGAAGCACCTTTTCAGGACTACGGAAAAACCTTGGGGTGCCCCGCCATAATCTGATTCTTTATGATCAAAATAAAATACCCTCTTAACAATTGCCCTTTCCCTTTTTTGAACTAAATGACCAATACGCCCTTTCCTAATACTACTAACATTGAGTGTCGGTGGCCCGACAATACTTATGTTCTTTCATTCTATCAGACCATAGCCTAACCATTTTATAATTCTATAATGTACTGATGAGGAGACAAGTTACATAATTTCACGTCCATGAACATGAGTACACAGAAGCTGACAAATTCATTCAATTCAATTCTTTGCTAGTGAATGATTAAAATAAATGCAGTAGCTATTATGATTAACCTGTGTGAAATTGTCAGCTTTTAAAGACAGCCACAAGTTAAGGGGGTTGATTTACCAAAGACAGTGGTTGTGTTGTGTTTATTTACCAATCAGTTAAAGTTTCAATGTGTTAGAGCCACAAGTTGTTCTGGTGGGTCTGATACTCATAAATGTGTTTGAATGGATTAGAGGTGAAAACAATAGGATTTTTCACTCTCACCCCATCAATAGAGTTTACACAGACATCATAAAAGTTGAATGGTCATCTGATTATTACATTGAACAAATAAATTTAGAGTCTAGAAAGTGGTACTAGTTGTGACCATTGTAGGACATGTTAGTGTTTTTCTATGAACAAAAATAATATCTGAATAGTATTTTCACTGTTTTATCTACTATTTTAATTTTAATAAAGATGCCTGTAATTACTAGTAACTTAAAGGGTCCACTAAAAAACATTATTTGAAAGGATATGTCTGTAAATTATTAAATTTCTGATAAAAACAAAAAACAAAACAATAAACAAGTGCTTACCATTTTCTTTAGAGGTTTAAATTTCTGATAAAAACAAAAAACAAAACAATAAACAAGTGCTTACCATTTTTTTTAGAGGTTTGGGCATGGGATTCTAGGTGGGTTTTGGAGTTGCTTGTTTGAAAGCAACAGTGGGAGCTATTCTGCAGCTCCTCCTCTGATGCTCTTGAACAAGTTCTCCAGCAAGCCAATCGAGTTTTTGGAAATTACTCTGCTCCCCAATCTTCTTCCCTCCAAACAGAACTGACTCTACATTTTCCTGCTTCAACATTTCCTCTGCTATTCCCATCAGCATTTTAACATTGCCGGGACTCGCATCTGTATCTCCACTTGGTCCACATTGGCCCATACTCGACCCATTTGCCTGTCATGTTCATGTAACAATCGCTTCGCTTAGAAGTGAGTTCCGAAACCATGGATCAATTCATGCATAGTTCAGGTCCAGCATAATTAACTTAAATCACAATTCACCAGCAATTTAGAATTACCAAAAAGGTATTTCAGTACACATAACTCAAGTAAAAGAGTATCATCAAATTCAACTATTCAAGTAGGTATAAGGGACCAAATGAAATTTAATTCTATGGAACTAGCACTTCCTTGATCCCAATCCCAAACACAGAAAACAACAGATATCCACTTCATTTCTGTGGCAGAGACAGTAAACAACACCCCATCATTCCATGCTATATCTAACTAATTACCAAAACCATGGTCCAACAAAAATAGCAAAACTTTCCTAAAATCAAAACACATTCTTCTAGACAAAAAATAGACAACATCAATTAACATCAAAACACATCCCCAAACAAGTCCAAATCCAGCTATCTCACCCCATACATAGCATTCAACTTGCTACATACCAACAAGGCAAAAATATCCCTAGGATGCAAGCCCCACACCCCCTTACTCTCTTGCTGGTATGAAATTGACTCAATTTAATTCCCTCTAACTTTTATCAACTCAACATCAACCAAAAACTGTAACAATCAAATAGTAATATGGTAAAATTGAATTTAACCATGATCATCATACCTGAATTCGAACGTAATTAGTACTCCGGCAATGACCGAACGCCATCGCCACAGCCTGATCAACCAGGTCCGCCGAGGCATCGCTCGAAATACGCGCCATCGGCCGGGCCCAATCCTTAGCCTTCCAGCGATTCACACGATCATAATCACACTTAACTTCAACCAGTTGACCGGTTCCAAGAGACAGAACAAGAAGATCCTCCACGCCTCGCACGAACGGAAACTCCTGTTTATTATGCAGCACGTGCGTGATAGCCGCACCGGTTGGGTTACCCATCGCCAAACCACCATCAACCGCCACGCATTTGGTTTGTCCATCAACAGACCGCATTTGAACCGGTTCTAACAAACCCGGTTCAGCCGAAGTCGCTCGACACACTTCCCACAAACGAAAATCAAAACTATCCGTTTCCAACGCATCAGCACGCGAGAACAAAAACGGCGCCGTACTCGATAAATCATAGCACGGTATCAGAACCGGTTTCAGTGTATCTTTCAACGTTAAACAACGACCGTCCTCCGCCGTAAACGCTTCTTTAACGATTCTCTCCAGACCAGCCGTCGCCGTTTCAACCGAACTCGAACCGCCGCTTCCGAACAGTCTCTTCAAAAACCCGCGGCTGCCGGAGCCTCCGTAGAATCTCTTCCCCTGCTCCGCTAACAACCGCCATGTATCATCCGCGGAGTAAATCGGTTTTCGTTGATCTTTTGTCGCAAAAAGCATCGCAGTGAAAATACCTCCAACGCCGGAGCCGGTAGCAACATCAAAATAATCCGCGATTCTCGCGTTCCGGTCACCTGATTTTTTCTTCAACGCCTTTTCAAGATACGCCAGTGCTTTTCCGGCAAGAATCCCACGCATAGCACCACCGTCGATTGCGAGTATACATATCTTCCCACGCTGATTCTTGACGGAGGAAACTCCGTCAACGGTTTGAGTTAGTTGAGAATCAATAGCAGTTGTAGCAGGAATTTGCTTAGGGATCCAAAGTTTTTGTTCATCGTAACCGAAGAGAAACTTGCTTTCTAGAATAGAGAAGATTTCGTAGCTGAGCTTATCCGTTTCAATGCTTGGTTCTTGCATTTCAAGTTGATTAATAGAATCCATTTTTTTTTCAAGAAAAGCGATTATTCTGCGTTTGTTTTTGTTTGTTGCATGGAGTTTGTTATATACTAGTACTAACCTGGATGAGAAGAAGAGAGAAAAAAAAAAAACACCTTGGAACTGACGCCTATTGAAAAAGAAAACTAATGGAGGGAAAGAAAATTAAAAATGAAAACTATTTGTTTTTTGTTTCGAAAAATTATTTTTGTAAGAATTGAACCAAGTAAGTTAAGGTTGAGTTTGGAGATATATAAAGAGGAGAGAGGGAAGTAAAAAGTAAAGTCTAGTAGTTGAACAGTAAAAAACAAGAAAAAGAGAAAGTGAGTCAAAAGGGAGCGTTTTGCGCTCTAAAATCCCACTCTTATGTGTGTCTGTTCCTTTTGCCAAAAGTGGCTAAGCTAGGCGTTCTCTAGTATGTAAACATCAAACGCAACCAACCAACAAACAAGCACCGAACAAAACCAGAAAATGCCAAATCACAACAGCTAGATGCACCACCAATCACCATATCTATATTATATTTACTTTTTACTACTATGACTATGATATGATTCACTAACTATTCATAACCCCATTATGTGAAAAACAAATGTAAATCAATAAGAAAGGAGCTCAATTTTTGAAAAACTGGTTCCGTGGTGATTTTATTTTGTGGCTGATATAAGTGTTACAATATTGATTATAGTCATTAATCACAATTTATTCTATAACATTAAATCGATAAATAACAATATTGATATATATCAATATTTAGTTATTATTTTTGCAGTAAGTTCTGGGGTACCACAACAAAAATTGTGTTTTTGCAAATTAGCTTTGTCAATCACTCACCGACACTTGTACATAGTCAATTTTGCTATTTGTGTCGTAAATCCTTAACGTTCCCACCCTTCATCAACGTTCCACCAATTTTGCATTTTCTTTCATCTAGATAGGCTTGCATACTCTATACAACATAGGGGGCAAAGGACGAGTTATTCTTGACCAAACCAAATCCAACCGTAACTTTTCGTAGGCCGTTTTTAAGGATAATCGTCCCTAAGTTCTATGTTTTGCCGTCCTATTTAGGATTGAGTTTATTTAAGATGAAATTGAGTTATTATTCAAAGTCTTATAAAATGGAGTAAATAAAAGTAACGATGTAGTTTATTTAAGTGATCGGTTATTCCATCTAATAAAGGAGCTTTTTTTTTTGGGTTGAATTCCATTAATGTCTTTAAGTTTAACAATTAATATTTTAGAATGTTCGGTAAAAATGTAATATTTTTTTAGAAAATATTGGATGTTTTGATAAAAACTCATATCATTTTTTTAAAAATCCGATACAATTGTATAGTTTTCATCAAATTTTGAAATTTTTCATACCAATTTTTTTTTTATAACTACCAAATTTTTATAGAGTAAAATTTTTTGAACCAAATATAATTTTTGAATAGGTAAATAATGAAAAGGATATTTTAGTAGTATAAAAATAAAATGGAGCATCAAATAAAAATGGAGCGTACAAAGAAGCTTTGATAAGAGACTTCTCATAAGACGAAATTCACAATACAATTTAAGACTGCGATAGTTAAAAAACTCAAGTCTATATGAAATTAATTTTAATTTTATAAAATACTTTTGGAGGTTATCAGAGGTGATTTTATAAAGGTCTTGAGAAAATTTTATTCTAATGGTCAGACGGTAAAAGGAGAAAATTATTTTTTCTTAATTTTCATTCTAAAGAAAAAAAATCTATCAAAAATATCATATTACATATCAATATCTTTGGCATGGTGCATCTACAAATTAATATATAATGTTTTGGTCAATAGATTAAAAAAAAGTAATTAACATCATTTTTAAAGACACAATCAAAATTCGTTACATGCAGGAAAAAGGACAACCACGATTGAAGAGAATAATGAAACCAAATAATAAGGGTATATAAGGAAGAAAAAAAGAAAAAAATTTTATAAGCCCTTGTTAAGTTAAATTAAGTGTGGAAGAAAGTCAAGACAAGAACGAAAGGATTAGGAAATAAAGACTAGAGATCCCTTGATATTTATGACAAGCCACCATGAAGAAGCTACCATGTCTTAAACTTTGTTCCATTCTCATTTAAAGAATTTGTTTTCATGTTCTTAAAAATTAGAAGGAAATGTCATGAGTCATACAATTTAGAAAATCTTGTGCTTTGTTCCAAAATTTAAGGAGATCTTTTTGCACAAACTAGTGCAGCTATCAGCATGTGCATCAAGAAATAACTGGGCGCAGATTCAAGGTCCAAGGATTGTTGAAGAGTATATAAAGAAACTACCTAGACCTAAATTCATGAAGAACTTGGTAAAAATAAGGGGAAGCTGATTTTTCTTAGTCTTAGGTATTGAGAGTTCTTCAAGGGGTTTCTGTTTTCTTTGTACGTCCTCATGTATCTTTTGATGCATTTGAGTTGACTGATTTTTACTTGTTTATCAAATTATTATTCTCCTTAAAGCTTTTAAGCAAGAGTTGAGTATTGTTCTTAGTGAAACTTTTAAGCAAACTAAGTACTTTTGTATTGGAAGAGTATTCTTCTTTTTAGTTTCTTGTGACATTCCCAAGGACTGGGATTGTTTGATATCGCTGCGGTGATTCAGAGTGAGAGGGGTTCTCATATCTAGGAGGTGCCGAGGTAGAAGTTGCATTGGGTAGTGATTAAGTGATAAGTTGTAAATTGGGATTGTTTAGGCTTAGAATTAATACTACTGATAGTGGATTTCCTTCCTGGCTTGGTATCCCCCAGAGTAGGTGAGTTGCACCAAACTAGGTTAACAATTGATTATGTTATTTAAGTTTCTGCAATTTACTTTTCTGCATAATCCTTCTGTTTTAGCAAATCTATTTTCTGTCAACAAATGTTATAACATATGTCATGACATTGTGTGTTATTGAGACATCAGTCTTGACTTCTGAATTTCAACAAGGTTCTGTTGAACAAGTTCTGAAGATCTGAAGATATTACTTTTAAAGACCAAGTGCTAAAGACTCTGAAAACAAGATTCTGTCGAACAAGTTCTGATGACTCCAAAGACTTAAGCCAAGAAGACTCAAGTTCTGTCAAGATATCATGTCTGACATCTTCTTCAAAACACTGCTAGAACTCCCCCTCTATACTTGCTATCACAAAACAAAGAATCATAGAATTCTCCCCTTCAGCAAGTGCCACAACTCCAACACCCTCGATATCATACTACTCCCCCTTTGTAGTCATAATGTGACAAAGGTAAGTAAATAATATTAGTAAAAAAATATTAAGCCCCTAAAGTTATAGTAGCAAGGTGCAAAATTTTTAAAATATCCTGGGTATTTAACCCTTACATAATCATAAACCAAAATAAACAGGATCATAAGATAGATCCGAGCAAAATCCAATTACTAGTTGTCATGTAGTAGCATATTTTCTTTCCTCAAAAGCACTGGCAGAGCGTTCATTAGGTGCAACACCATATTTAGCAACCTCAACACAAGATGTAGCACCATCAATAATTGCTATAGCTCTTCATAGATACAGATCCCAAGTCTTCTCCTTAGGTTCTCGAACTGAACAACATCAAGAGCTTTTATAAAAATATCAGCAAGTTGATTCTCAATTTTGACATGCTCAAGTTTAATGATTTTGTCCTCCATAAGTTATCTGATGAAGTGATGTCTGATGTCAATGTGTTTGGTCCTACTATGTTGAATATGATTTTTAAAAATATTTATAGCACTCCGGTTGTCGCAAAACAATGTCATAACATCTTGTGTGACATTGTATTTAGACAAAATTTTCTTCATCCATACCAGCTGAAAGCAACTGCTTCCTGCTGCAATATACTCAACTTCAAAAGTAGATAGATAAACACAATTTCGCTTCTTACTGAACCACGAGATCAAGTTGTTTCCCATAAAGGAACATCCTCCAGAGGTACACTTCATATCATCAGCACTTCCAGCCCAATCAGCATCACAATATCCCACCAACGAGGAATTTGTATCATGGGAGTACAACATACCATAGGCACGTGTTCCACTCACATACTTCAAAATCCTCTTTACGTGATTAATGTGACTTACCTTAGGTTATGCTTGATATCTTGCACATACTCCAACAGCAAATGTGATGTATGGTCTGCTAGCAGTACGATATAAAAGGTTACTAATCGTGCTTCTATATAGACTTTGATCAACACTCACCCTTTTTTCATATTTAGATAACTTCAAGTGTGTAGAAGCTGGAGTTCTCTTATGGCTGGCATTTCCCAACCCAAACTTCTTCATAATATTTCTTGCATATTTTTTCTGACAAAGAAAAATGGAGTCTTCCACCTGCTTGACTTGCAATCCAAGGAAGTAAGTCAGTTCACCTACCAAACTCATCTCAAATTCAGATTTCATCTGCCTAACAAAATGATGGACCATGTCATTTGACATTCCTCCAAAAACAATGTCATCCACATAGATTTGAGCTATCAAAAAATTTCCATCTTCATCTTTGACAAAGAGAGTCTTTTCAATTCCATCCTTTATGTATCCATGACTGACTAGAAATTCATTCAATCTTTCATACCATACTCTTGGAACTTGTTTCAGTCTATACAGGGCCTTCTTCAGTTTGAACACATGATTTGGAAAAGAAGGATCAACAAATCCTTTTGGTTGCTCAACATAAACTTCTTCTTTTAAGTACCCACTTAGAAAGGCACTCTTGACATCCATCGTATACAACTTGAATCTGAGGTGACAAGCTACACCAAGCAGCAATCTAATAGACTCCAAGCGATCCACATGAGAAAATGTTTCATCAAAGTCTATTCCCTCAATTTGAGTGTACCCCTGAGCAACCAGTCTGGCTTTATTTCTGATGACACCTCCTTGTTCATTTGTCTTTCTCTTGTATACCCATTTTGTAATAATGATATTCACCCCTTCAGGTCATGGTACCAAGTCTCAGACTTCATTTCTTTTGAACTGACCAAGCTTATCTTGCATAGCATTGATCC